ACATAAAAATATCTAGTCATTTTAGCATCACTTTTTGAAAAGACAGTTTTCCCACTGAATTGCCTTGGCACTATCTTAAAATGGATTGCCATAAATGTTAGTGTTTACTGAACGATTATACGTCCATTCTTATGCCAGTGCCACACTGGTTTGATTTTTATAGCTTTGTGGTAAGTTTTTGTTTTTGAGATCAGTGTTAGTCTTCTAACAGTTTTTCTTTTTCAAACTTACCTTGCATTTCCATTTCAATTTTGGAATCAGATTGTTACTTTGTACAAAAAAAGCCTACTGAAATTTTGATAGGGGTTGCATTGAATCTGTGAATCAATTTGGGGAGAGTTACCAATTTACCAATCTCAAGTCTTCCAACCCCCGAATGTGGTGTGTTTTTCCATTCACAGGCTTCCCTCAGAGATACTGTAGGTTCCATTCCAGACCACTGCGATGAAGCTAGTCACACAATTTTTTGGTTTCTCAGTGCATATAAAAATTTATGTTTATACTATACTGTAGTGTAATAAGTGTGCAAAAATAGCATTATGTCTAAAAAATGTGTGTACCTTTACTAAAAAATACTCTCTGTTGCTAAGAAGTGTAACCATCATCTGAGTCTTCAGCGAGGTGCCGTCTTTTTGCTGGGGGAGGGTCTTGCCTCAGCATCGATGGCTGTTGACTGATCAGGGTGGTGGTTGTGACAGCTTCTTAACATAAGACGACACTGAGGTTGGCTGCATCGCTTGACTCTTCCTTTCACAAATAATTTCTCTGTGGCACGTGATGCTGTTTGATGGCCTTTTATCCACAGCAGAAGTTTCACATTGAAGGTAGTTCTCTCAAACTCTGCTGATATCCTATCAGCTAAGTTTATGTGGTACTGTGAACCCTGTGCTGACATTTGAGTAGTACTCACAACATCTGCCTTCAGAGTGGATTCCATCTCAAGAAACCACTTTCTTTGCTCATCCATAAGAAGAAAATCTTCGTGTGTTAAAGTTTAATTATCAGATTGCAGCAATTCAGTCATATCTTTAAGATCTAATTCTAGTTTTCTTGCTCTTTCCACCATATATGCAGCTACTTCCTCCACTGAAGCCTTGAACCCCTTAAAGTCATCCATGAGGGTTAGAATCAGTTTCCAAATTCCTGTTAATGTTGATATTTTCACCTCTTCCCATGAATCACACATGTTCTTACTGGCATCTAGAATGGTGAATCCTTTCCAGAAAGGTTTCAATGTACTTTGCCCAGATGCATCAGAGGATTCACTGTTGATGGCAGTTCGAGCTTTATTAAATGTATTTCTTAAATTATAAGACTTGAAAGTCTAAATTACTCCTTGACCCATGGGCTGCAGAATGGATATTGTGGTAGCAGGTGTGAAAACAACGTTAATCTCCATGTCCATTCCCACCAGAGCTCTCGAGTGACCAAGTGCACTGTCAGTGAGTGGTGGTATTTTGAAAGGAATTTTTTTCTGAGCAGTAGGTCTGAGCAGTGAGCTTAAAATATTCAGTAAACCATATTGTAAATAGATGTGCTATCATCCAGCCTTTTTTGTCCAGAGTAGAGTTAGCATACTTTTAAGGGCCCCAGGATTTTCTAAATGGTAAATGAGCATTGGCTTCAATGTTGAGTCACCAGCTGCATTAGCCCCTACCAAGAGAGTCAGCCTGTCCTTTGAAGCCAGGCACCGACTTCTCCCCTCTGCTAGGAAAGCCCTAGGTGGCGTCTTCCAATAGAGGGCTGTTTCATCGACATTGAAAATCTGTTATTTAGTGTAGCCACCTTCGTTAGTTATCTTAGCTAGATACTTTGGATAGCTCGCCGCAGCTTCTGCAGCAGCGTTTGCTGCTTCACCTTGCACTTTTACGTTGTGGAGAAGGCGTCTTTCTGTAAACCTCGTGAACCAACCTCTGCTAACTTCGAACTTTCCTTCTGTGGCTTCTTCACTTCTCTCAGTTTTCACAGCGTTGAAGAGAGGTGGGGGCCTTACTCTGGATTAGGGTTTGGTCTGAGGAACCTTGTGGCTGGGTTGATCGATCCAGACCACTAAAACTGTTTCTGTATCGGCAATAAGGCAGTTGCACTTTCCTATCATTTCTTAAGCACCTTTCACTTCCATCAGGAACTTTCCCGTTGCATTCACAGCATGGCCAACTGGCGCGAGAGGCCTAGCTTTTGGCCCGTCTCAGTTTTCAGCATGTCTTCCTCACTAAGCTTAGTGTATCTAGCTTTTGATGTAAAGTGAGAGGCGTGTGATTTCTCCTTAGAGCCGCTGTAGGATTATTGGCCTAATTTCAATGTTGCTGTGTCTCAGGGAGAGAGACAGGAATGGCTGGTCGGTAGAGCAGTCAGAACATACACAACATTTATGAAGTTTACCGTCTTAAATGGGTGCGGGTGCTGTTCATTGCTCCCCAAAACAATTACAATAGTAACATTAGAGATCACTGATCACAGGTCATCATAACAAAAATAATAATAACGAAACAGTTTGAAGTACTGTGAGAATTACCGAAATGCGACACAGGAACAGGAAGTGCATGAACGTGCGGAGAAGGGCACCAGTAGGCTTGCTTAGCGCAGGGTTGCACACACCCGCGGTGGTGCAGACGCACAGTTCTGAGCGCGTGCAGTAAAGCGAGTGCAGTGAAATGAGGGAGGTCTGTCTGCGTTTAAGTCTTTTGTTTCTCAATAATGTTTTGTAGTTTTTACTGTACAGGTCATGAGCTACCTTTTTATGTTTACTTTTATTTTTTAAAAAAAGATTTTATTTATTGATTTTTAGAGAGAAGGAAAGGGAGGGAGAAGTAGAGAGAAACATCGATCGGTTGCCTCTCATATACACCCCGACCCGGACCGAGCCCAAAACCCAGGCATGTGCCCTGACTGGGAATCAAACCGGCGACCTTTGGCTTTGTGGGACGGTGCCCAAACAGCTGAGCCACACTGGTCAGGGCCCTATTTTATTTTTGGTGTTGTGAATGGAATTGTTTTCTTTGAGGGTTTTCTTTCTTTCTTTTTCTGTTTCTTTTTTTTTTTATATATTACTGTACCCTGGGTACAGCCCTACGTCCGGGCACATGTGCCTGGAACCACCAGATGGGACCACAGTGAAGACAGCCTGCCCGGTCACTTCCCGCAGTTCTTGTGTGACCCTGCCCTGCAGCAGCGTCACCGTAACCAGGCCAACTGAAGCTCATGCTGCTCCAGCTGTGGAGAAGCTAGGAAGCTTTTCTTAATTAATTAATGAATTGATTATTTCCCCCTTTTTATTGAATGTATTTGGGTGACATTGGTTAATAAAATTATATAGGCTTCAGGTGTACAGTTTTATAATACATCATCTGTATATTGTACTGTGTGGTCACCACCCCAAGTCACGTCTCCTTCCATCACCATTGATCTCCCTCGTACCCTCTTCCACCTCCTCCTCATCCCCCTTTCCCTCTGGTACTCCCCATACTGTTTTCTGCGTTTAGGAGATATTTTTTTTCTTAATCCCTTCACGTTTTTCAGCCAGCCCCGCAACCCTCCTGAAAGCTAGAAATCTTACAGAAATGCTGCGGTCTGGTCTTCTGCACGGGTCACCACGACCCGAGTGGCTTCAGCGATAGACTCCTGAAGAACGAGCCCAGGAGTCCAGGCCACTGTTGTGATGAAGTCAGACCTTACGGACCCAGAGCCGAAAGGTCCTGTAAAGCAGTGTTAGCACGTGTGGTTGGCTCAGTGACCACTTTTCTCCCAGAGTAAATACGGCTGTGCAGGCGAGGGCAGAAGTAGCGTTGTAGTTGTTCGTGTGGGAAGAGACACGCAGGGTGTGATCGTCACAGCAGCTCTGTTAACGCTGTGTTTCGTGAACTCACAGCTGCAAACCTCGTTTTGTGTTGTAGGAAGGCGGACGAAGCTCTGTATACCAAGTGTATCCTCTCCAGGGGGTCTGCGTAGGCCCCCCAGAGCCAAGTTAAGAGGTCAACAAGGTTTGGCTTGTGGCCCCACTGCTCTTTTCTGCCCAGGACAGAAAGCCCCTCGACTTCGTCCTGTACCCCCACCTCTCTAAACGAAGAACCTGGAGCATCTAATATACTTCAGCTTTATGGGCTGTTGAGCTAATTATGCTTTGGAATAAATTAACTGTGTTTTTATATTTTAAGTTTATCTCTTATTAAGGAAATACTCTTACCTTCTAAGGGAATGTCAGGTAACAAGGAATAGTGAAACTGGTGGTGGTGGTTGGGGCGGGTGGGACTTCCCACATCACCTAGACCCACCTGGAGGTAAGTCTTTAGGTGTGCTTGGTGGTCAGAGGGACACCAGGAGGACAGTTCATGTCTCTCTCCTTGGTAAGAGCCCTGGCTGCTCAGACTTCCCAGGGAAGGTTCCTCAGAGGCACTAGTGGGAGAGTGAGAAGGCCTCTGTCTTCTTGAGATGCTGGCACTTCCCTGGCTGTGCCAGCGCACGCCCAGGGGGCCCTCCCTGCGCATTTCTGTCCCTCCTCCACTCCCGTCTTTCCTGCGGGTGTCAGCTGTGTCCTGTGGCGGTTTTGCAGTGGAGGGAGCCATTTGGAGGCAGCAGGCTCCTTTATTAAAATGTTCCTCTGTGTGTGGACTGCTGTGTGAGGTTGTCACTTTGCTCAGGTGTCCCAGTTGGTGCTGGTCCTGGGTATGGCCTCTTGGGACCTGAGATGCCTAATGTTTTCATTCGACTCAAGATGAATCTGTGTCCACACTGTTCCCTTTTCTCCCCTGGATGACAGCCTTCGAGACTTGGGCAGTATTTGTGAACTCTAATGCAGTAGGATGTTGTTTTCTAAGAGTTAATTGTGGTTCTGAAGTTTATTTTAAAAATATGGATTATGGCTTTCTAAGGACTAGTTTTCATTTGCCAACTGTTTTCTATAATTCTGTGTGCACTTTTCTTTAAAATATCATCGAAAGGGGAAACATGAGATATTTTGAAGTTGAATGCTATTCATTTTTCTGATTTTGTTTTGATTTCAGGAGAAACTGGCTCTTCGCCAGCAGCTGAATGAGGCGAAGCAGCAACTGCAGCAGCAGGCGGAGTACTGCACGGAGATGGGGGCGGCAGCCTGCACCCTGCTCTGGGGCGCGTCCCGCAGCGAGGGGGTGGTCCGCGCCATTCTGGGAGGCGTAAGTGCGACCGGCTGGACACTGTCCACCAGTGTTTATGTGGCTGGGAGGGAACAGCGTGTCTTCTAGGGCTTACAGACTGTGTCCGTTTCTCTCGTGCGTTCGTCAGGTGGTTTGGGGGGCTCAGCTGTGTGGGGCCCACTGTGACCTGGTGCTCTGTGGGGGTGTGAAATGAATTCAGTAAGATCCCAGAAGCTGTATGGCCTTTGTTGCCATTGTTCCACTTCGGTATTCTTCCTTGGCATCTGTATACATATAACACAGCTTACAGTGCTTTTACATGTGTTATCTGTTGGGTAACTTGTTGAATGTGACATGTGATTTAACATATACACGTTACTAGCGCACACACACATGTCAAGGAGCTCCACAGAGGAAGAGAGATTTGAGATGGGCCCCGATTAACTTGAATGGCACAGAACGGGGAGGGTGTCCCAGGAGGAGAGAAACAGTGTATTGAAGGCATCGGGCAAACCTGGGAGTGAGTTTGTGGGCAGTGAAGGGGTAGCTGACACAGTGTGGAGGCCGGCGTAGTGACGTCGTGTGGGGAGAAGGCCGGTGAGGCCCGTGCAGGGTGACAGTGCAGCCCAGCAGGCGCGAGGACTGGGTTCCTGAGCACCGGGTAGGAGTGCACGGGACCAGAGGAGAGTCTGGGAAGGCGAACCTGGCTGGAGCGAGGATGGATCAGAGGTGGGGCGTGGGCTCTGCAGGCGGGACGGGACGGGAAGACGAGTTCAAGTTCGAGCGGGTCAGGCTGGAGTGAGCTGACTCTCTGTAGGGGAGGTAGGAGGGGAGGGGCGCCTGCGACTGAGGCCCATGTGGCGACAGTGTGGCTCCACAGCTGACAGGATGAAGGGACCAAGGAAGACCAAGGTGTGAGCCTGGGAGAAGGGGGTGTCACGAACGGAAATACAAGCCTGGCGGGGACGTGTGGTCAGGCCGGTGATGAACTACTCACCATCTCTAAACATTACAGTTGTGTCGGACTTGCAGGGAGAGACTAAATGCAGCTTAAAAAGTGTGTTGAGCTTTATCGAGATGTAGTTTGCGTACCGTAAGTTCAGTGTCTGTGAGTGGACCGCCGAGTGGCGTGTAGCTGACGGCCAGCCACACTTTGGGCAGCAGCACCACGGCCGGGCGTGGAGCACGGGCGTCACCCTCGACGCCCCTTGGCGCCCGGCTGCTCACTGTTCCCCAGAGAAGTGTGGCCGCGGCTCCGCACACTGGGGAGTGCTGTGCGCTCCGTCCCGGACTGCCGCGTGAGCCCGCTCGCCGTCTTCACCTCTTCGCGTGTTGTGGTTTCAGTTAAGGTTTCATTTGAAAAGCAGTTTTGCCAAAGGTTTGAAAACCTCTGGTTTCATGCCTAGGACAAACAGAGGACATATTTTTCCAGTACATTTTTGGGTGAATTCATCCCAGTATTTCCATCATTGTGTGAATTTCAAATTGTTGTGTGTGTGTGTGTGTGTGTGTGTATTTAATCCTCACCCAAGGGTATGTTTATCGATTTTAGAAAGAAAGGAGGTGGCGGGGGGGAGAGATCAATGTGACAGAGAAACATGTATTGGTTGCGTACTATATGCACCCCAACAGGGGATTGAACCCGCAACCCTTTGATGCTTGGGACAACACTCCAACCAACTGAGCCACCTGGCCAGAGCTTTTTTAAGATTTTATTTGTTTGTTTGTTTTTAGAGAAGAAAAAAAGAGGGAGAGAAACATCGATATGTGGTTGCCCCTCATGTGCCCCCTACTGGGGACCTGGCCTGCAACCCAGGCACGTGCCCTGACTGGGAATCGAACCTGCTACCCTTCACTTAGTCTGGCACTCAGTCCATTAAGCCACACCAGCCAGGCTATATTTTAATTTTACTCTTTGAATTAGTCTTCAGGGTAACTTTTCTACTAATAATTCTATTAAAGTCTAATAAAGTAAAACCTTTTTTCCTCATCTTTTCAGTAGAAACTTTTAATGAAAAATAGATTTTTAAATATTGCTTCTGTAATTAACACCGGGGTCTGTCTTGTGTGTCCTGCAGTTTTAAAATGTTTTTGTACTGGTGTTTGTGAAAGGGCATGATATTCTCATTTCCAAACTTCCAGGAGAAAGCTTTGAAATTTTTCAACATCACTGGTCAGACAATGGCGAGTTTTGTAAAGTCACTGGATGGGGATGCCAAAGAGCTCGATTCTGACGAAAATCAGTTTGTCTTTGCTTTGGCTGGAATTGTAACAAGTAAGTAATTCTTTGTGTGCAGTAACTGTGTTGAGTGTGCCCAGGGCAGTGGTGGCGGCCCAGGGATGGAGCATAAGCGTCTCTCAGGAACGCTTTCGAACACCGTGTGGGCCTCGCCCTGGAGACCCCGGCCCAGCGGATTGGGGGTGGGTTCTGGTGAGCGAGCCCTGGTGCGTCACACAGGCCGTCCGTGGTCTGGCCTTGTAGGGCAGGAATGGCCGGTCTTAGGAAGCCCTCGACGAGTTCGCACGTCAGTCCGTACGACTACAGAAGTCGGAACAAAGCTATAGGTTGAGCTGCTTGCCATGTGGAGTCACTGTCACCTTCCCAATGTCTAATGAAGTGAGAGCCTCTGTGAAGCTAAGCTCTTGCTGCTGTTGTGGTATAATAACTAAGGAACTCCAAAACCTAAGCTGCCTCGTTAGTGAAAGTCTCCCAAAGGTTGGAGCTACGATAGAATTCTGTGGCAAAACCGTGAGGAACAAAGCCAAACAAATACCTGGTCGCCCAGTGTCGCAGGAGTGGTACGTGCTGGTGAGGGCTGGGGCTCTTTGTTCTGAAGTCAGTGCAGTAGTTAGAGTGCTGCGACTTACTTTTTACATCACTTTTTCTTCTCTACTCTGTATCTTAGGGTAATTCTTTGCCACTGAAGAGAGAGGACGTTTGGTTTTTCCTCACGTCATTGTCCCTTACTGACTGCAATACTAGTGAGGCAGGTCGTGCATAGACATCGTCCCTTCATGGTCCCTCACGACCCTTCTGGGAGATGGTCGGACTCGCGGTGCCCCGGCCGGTCCCGGTCCCCTGGCCAGTCCCGGCACCCTGGTGTGCTGTGGGGGCAGCGGGCGGCGTGTGCTCTCGTCCTCGCACCTTGCACTGTGGGCAGCGTGCATTGCTGCACCTTAAAAAGTTTTTTTAAAGAGAGGGCATTTGCAAATTTGATGACTAGATTTTTGCTATTTGCAAATGACACCAAAAGTCTGTGACATATGTGACTTGTCATTCTGCTGAGTTGAGAATTTGAGCTGCTTGAATCGCCAGCTGGTGTGTAGCGGTGAGGCAGTTGGCCGTGAGCGGAGCCAGCCTGTTGCCCAGCATATAGCTCAACTCGGCTTTGTTTTTCTCCGCGTGGAGTGGCTCACGCAGGAACTCGCAGAGCTGGGATGTGGACACGTGTGCGTGTGGTCTTTAATTCCAAACTGATGAAGTGTACTGGGAGCACCACACACTGGGGTGGTTTTGTTCAGGTGCTGTTTTGCAGAGGCCTCAGGGGCGTATGCATCTCAAATACTGAGACCACGTTCCTCGGGGAGCAGGCAGTACAGCGGGGACCTTGGTTAGCTGCCACATAGATCCTCCACCTTCTGAAACAGGGATTCCTTTGAAAAAGATACATACAATAAACTCATCCTCGACAGTTCCTTTCCTCACCTTTTTGCAGTTCCTAAGTTGTGACAAATGCGCACTGTCACGTAACCACCAGTCAGGCTGTGGGACAGTGCCACTGCCTCCCCCAAGTCTGCTCAGCAGCTCCCCACCCTTTCCTTTTGTAGCCACCCCGCTCTCTACTGCCAGCCCAAAGCATCTGCTGATCTGGCACTTTGTCAAAACCTTTAGCTGGATTTTTCTTGCTGGCTTGTCTGGCATCCAGTGTCTGCCCCAGGTAAGCCAGGGCCTGCCTCACCTCTCCTCTTGGAGCCTCTGTCTTTTCCTGTTTCTGGTATTAGCTGGTTGATCTCTGACCTTAGCTCTCAGATGTGCTCAAGAAAATGTGTGATTTTGCAAATTACTGCCCCCACCTTTTAAAGGATTGAGGTGTAGCTCTTTTCATTTCATTGTATCCTAAAGCAAAAATTGGAAGTCAGGGATTTGTTTGAACATTGAAGTTGTTAGATTTCTTACTCAACCATAGTCACCGTCCTTAGTGACAGGTTGGTGTAGTGAAAGGGTCTGGATTTTCAGCCCCAGTGAGTCCACTTCCCAGGATGCAAATTCTCTGGGTTTTCTGTTCCTCATCTGCGGAGTGGAGCAGTAGCACCTGTTCTAACGGCCTCACGCACCGTTGTAAATGTCCTGCTAAACTGCGGCAGGCGGTGCACGCTGTAAACCAAGCTGCTGTTTGACGTAGGTGGTGTGGTTTTCAACAACCTGTGAAAGGGACAAGTGAGGAAGACAGAAGAATGTGGCAAATTACTGTCCCAGTCCCACGAAGATTAACTGGCTTCCCTTGCAAGTGGAAAACTTATTTTTCTAACTGCTTTTTGGTTATTCTAAAGTCATAATTACACTCCTTGCCTCTTCTAGGCTTATTCACTCAAACGATACTGGACAATGATTTCAGAATCAGAATTGCTTTTTGACCGTTGGCAACCCAGGGGCAGGCCTGGGTGCAGCTTGTCTTTCATGGACACAGTCGTTCCACCAAGTCCAGAGAGGACCCGTGTGTCAGTGACCCTCACTTCTCCTGGCCCCCAGCGTCTCTCCTCCCCGTTCCCTTTCTGCTCACACTCCCGCTGACACAGGGAAGCTCTGTGGTGCGTGAGAAAGCAGATGGGAGGGGAAGCGGGGGAGGCCCGGTGTCCAGTTTTGCTTCCGTCACTGCCCAGCCCTGTGTTCTTGCATCTGTGACGGTTGATTTCACCTTCTGAGAAGAGAGCCTTAGACCTCAGATGATGCCTGAGGCCCCCCCAGCCCTGGCTTGTGTGGTTCTGCATGTTTAAGAATAAGGTGCCGGTTCCGCTGCGTTCTGCCAGTCACACCTTAGCTTTAGGTCAGGGACAGCCCCGGGGTCTTCATCAGAGGCGTGGTTCATTGGGGAGTCACTTTTTGCAAATTAGCTACCAAAGTTCATAGCAAAGACTTATGGTTTCCTGTGGGGTTCCAATATGTGGTCAGCTGTAGTTACATGAAGAAGGTTTTTCCTTGAACAATTATTTTAAGATGACTTTTTATAGGTTATGATGCCAAATGCTTAGAGCTTCATCTCCCCTTCAGATAGTTCTTTAGGATCAGTAGAGGGTGTCATATGCTAGAAAGTATCACTATCGGGCTCAAATTCATTGGACAGAGACTGGTCCTGTCAGGGAAGGACCCTGCCTTCAGTAAAGGACAGCTGCCGTGACTCTCACACTGAATACACAGCACCAGTTTCTGAGGCAAAGACTGCTGGGAAGTCGAGCAGAAATGGGGAAACGTGGTTAGGGTTAGGGGACTTTGTACCTCTCTTGGTCCTTCTCAGTGCAGGAGGCAAAAATAAATAGGGTTGTCTAGGGCCCAGTTCTGTGAAGGAGAACTGGTAGGGCGATGGACCTTTACACTTTGCCGTTGGAGTGCAGTTAAAGAACAAGTAAGCCATAAAACCACCCTCAGTTCTCGATAATTCTGAGCAAAATGAAAATAGAAGAAAACATCCTTAAACCAGTAAAGGTATCTACTAGAATCGTGCACCAAGCACCACACTGGGCTGTGGCGACTTGGAACCTCTCCATTCGGGGCAGGGCAGCGAGGGTGCCGCTGCCCTGCTGTCTCCCACTGTGGCCGCTCACTTCCACTGGGAACTTCGCTCACTTTGAATCATGCTTCATCGTTCGACTTAGCCGAGACAAGCGTTGCCCACGCGTACATAAGCATGCTTGGGTCGCTGGTGTGTCCTCACGGGTGTTTGGGAACGCTCACGAGCTGGTGTCGCCCGCGGCAGCGTCCATTGGAAGCCAGGGTCTCTGCAGGGCCTCCGGCATGAGGCAGCGTGCTTGTTGCCGGCCCATAATAGGATGTAAGAGTTAGAAAAAAGCTTTTTTTCACAATTAGTTTTCATCCTCTCTTTGGCCTCACGATTTAGGTTTGGTATTGTGGTTCAAAGTCATTAGGATTCCACTCCCAGGATTGAAAGTCGATTCTAGTGTCCTCGGTCCCAGGTAAAGTGACCAGCCCCACTTCCTGTGTGGACCCCGGCTGCCCACCGCTGTCAGTCTGGGGTTCGGGCGGATAGCGTCCACGTGCCGTCCCCTGGCTGGCTGCAGACGTATTTGACTCCAGCGCTCTGCTTCACTACCTGGGTGTCGCTGGTCTCGGCGCACATGGCTCCCTGTCTGAGCAACTGTGTGGCTGTCAGCTCTGTGGACAGCGCCATTTTTTTCTGCCTCGCTGGCTATTCTGTCTTCAGTAGGTCTTTTAGGAGAAAGACAGTAGCAAGTACTGTGTTGTGGACAAACTCTTCTAGAGTCTGAAGTGAGATTTTAAACTTGGTTTTGTCTTTCTGTTGCAGATGTCGCTGCCATAGCGTGTGGTCGCGAGTTCCTGGTTAACTCCAGCCGGGTGCTCTTGGACACCATTCTGCAGCTCCTGGGGGACTTGAAGCCGGGGCAGTGCACCAAACTCAAAGTGTACGGTGGACAGTATTCATGAGTGAACGTTCTGTTGTTGTTGTTGTTGTTGTTTTTTAATTTTACTTATTTATTTTTAGAGAGAGGGGAAGGGACGGAGAAGTAGAGGGAGAGAAACATCAGTGTGTGGTTGCCTCTCCCATGGCCCCCACTGGGGACCTGGCCCACAACCCTGGCATGTGCCCTGACTGGGAATCGAACTGGCGACCCTTTAATTCGCAGCCTGCGCTCAATCCACTGAGCTACACCAGCCAAAGCTTAAAAAGTTAATGTTTTTTACAGATTAGTCAGAAATTACTGATGGGGTCTCTTTTTCAGGAAAACGCAATTAATTTGGCAATAGTTCTAAAAAAAATAGAAGGAACAAATTGCCTGGAGAATTCAGGGATGTAGTCTGTTAAATACTATTTTAGAAAAATAGCATAAACAGAAGGAATGTTCTCACCTTAGAGCAATGAATAAGTACTGAACGCTATCATGTGATACTCGAGGGTTACCAGTGTATTAATGATCTCCAAATGAACTTAAATAAGTATTTGTTATGGCAGCCACTTACTTCTAGGTATGAAAATCACTGTTCTCTTATTATTGTTGTGTAACCACCAACTTAGTGGCTAAAAACAACACCCCCTTCATTCACAGTTCTGTAGGTAGGAAGTCTGAGTGGGCTCCACAGGGTTCTTCAGCGTGGGTCTCGCGTGGCCAAAATCAAGGCGTTGTCCAGGACTGGGCTTTTTAGAGGCTCTGGGCAAGAATGCTTCCAGGTGCATTCAGCTTGCTGGTGGACTCTCATTCCTTGCCGATGTAGCTCTGAGGTCCCTGTTTCCTTGCTGGTTGTCAGGCAGGGGCCACTTTTAGCTCCCAGGGATGACTGAATTCCTTATCACATGACCCCACCTTATCTTGAAGCCACAGTAGCTCACTGAATCCTTCCTGGAACCTTTGGACTTTTGATGGGCTTAGATTAGTCAACTGCATAGACTCCCTTTGATTAACTCAGAGTCAGCCTGTTAGTAACTTTAGTTATATCTGCGGTCTCTCTCCCAGGTAACTTACCAGGGTGTGATATTCTGCTCATGGTGCCAGGGGTGAGGGCAGGAAGTGGTAGGGCATTGTCGGAGTCTGTACCACACCATTGATTTCGAGTGTTCGCTTTTCTTTTTGGAGCATTTTTAATAATAGCCTCCTTAAAGTCTTTGGTCAGATATCGCTAACATCTGTGCCACCTCGGCCTTGGTGTCTCTTGGTTCTTTCCCCGTTGAGTGGGTATTTTTCCTGTTTCTTCATATGCTGAGTAACTTTGAGTTGCATCCTGGACATTTGAATATTATGTTTTGAGAAGCCGGGTCTTACTTGATCCTGTGGGATTGGTTGATGCTTTGTTTTAGCAGGCAGGCGACCTATTGGGTTCAGGCTGCAAATTCTGACCAGCCTTCCCTGTGCTGTGGTTTTGGTGTCAGTTTTGTTTCCAAAAGCCTCTGTAGTGCCCTTGGGTCTGCCTCTGCTGTGAGCCCCCATGGCCAGTGTGAGACCTGGCCAGTCGTTGACACTGTGCTTCTCCGATTGTCGGATACACTGCTGTTTGGGTCCAGATCAGTGCGTGCATGGCTTGGGCCGAGGCCAGGAGTTAACAGCGACCTCATGGGGTCACCTTCCTGAGCTTCAGCTCTCCACAGTGTTCCTGGGACTTGTTGGCTCCTCAGGTTCCCCTTTTCTGTCATTGGTCTGGAATGCTGGGGTTTGTATGTCCTGCTGGGTCGTGTCCCCACAACTGGGCCCATGTCCAGGGCCTAGTGGCAGGCGGTCAGAGGGTCACAGTCCTCCCGGTGGTGAGGAAGATTTCCTTCCAGGGAGTCAGAGTTACCCGGGGGCCCCCACTGCCAGCCTGGCCTCTGCCAGGAGACCCGCTTTCTGCTCCTCAAGTCTGCGCTAGAGTCTTCTGGCACTCTTCTCCGTGCGGGTCAGTGCCACTCGGGGGCTGGGGCCGAGGGGCCGACTCGCTGCGGGTTTGGTGGTTCTCACACTTCTGGTCTTCTTCCCAGTCTGCCTGCTGCTGTGTGCTCTCCGGGCCTCTCCTGGCTGCTCTGTGTGCTCTGCTCAGCGGTTCACGCTGCATTCAGTGGAAGCTGGGGGGTGGGTGTGTTGACTCAATCTTATCTGGAACAAGAGGCTAGTCCACGTTGGTGTTTGTGTTAACAGATATGTGTACACAGTATAACTTGAGTTACATCGTTTTGTGTGGGCTTTATAAGTTGTTTATGGATCTAATAATTCTGTTTAAGTATCTTACATGAAAGGAAGTAGGGCATTCAGTTATTTTTCCCTGACTGATGGACATTCAGGTTATCATCAGGTTTTACTCTACACATGTAATGCTGTAGTGAACATCTTTGAGAAATATCTCCTGCTAACCTGCATGAAATTTCCCCTAGCAGTTTTCCCAGAAAGGGAGTATTTGAGAAGTGGGACATGCTCATTTTCAGGTGGTGTTTTTTTTTTTTTTTTAAGATTTTATTTATTTATTTTTAGAGAGAGGGGTAGGGAGGGAGAGAGGGAGAGACACATTAATGTGTGGTTGCCTCTCACACACCTCCTAGTGTGGGGAGCTGTCCTGCAACCCAGACCTGTGCCCTGACTGGGAATTGAACCAGCCACCTTTTGGTTTGCAGGCTGGTGCTCAATCCACTGAGCCACAACAGCCAGGGCTCATTTTCAGTTTTATAAGATACTGCCAAGTTGGTCATCAAAGTGAGCACGTTCACTGTCAGTGTTCTGTACTTCCCACACCCTCAGCACCTCATTATTTATTCTGTTCTTTATAGAGTTTTGTGCTGTTGATACCTGTTTGCCTGTGTGCCTTTACATTTAGATTGCCAGTGACGTTGAGCCCCTTTTCTCATGTTCAGAACATGTAAGTTTTTTTCCCGTGATTTACCTGTTCACTTCCGTTGCCCGTTTGCTATTGGGTTGTACTTTTCTCAATGATTTGCTGTTGTTCCTTACATGTTTTGGATACTAGACCATTGTCTCGTTTGCTTCTGTGGTCCTTACAAGGGCAGCGTTTATGTGTCCAGCTAACCCCCTCCTCTAATTTCCAAGGCAAAGCTGCATGTGAGGGCCAGGTTTCTTCTCACATGGGGCTCTGTGTCTGCGCCCTAACGAGCTCTTGTCCATGGCACTGGAAGATGAGGAGAGTTGCCTTCAGAGAGGTCTGCTTGCTTTGTCGGCAGTGCCCCATCTGACCGCTGGCAGAACTCATGTACGGTTAGCCTCAAAGCCCCGTGGGCCTCATGTGCGCCACACTGAAGTGGGGCTTCCCCCTTGGCGATCTCGGGCTGCCTGCTCGTAGGCATGTCGTGTGTTCACCTTATTCCCCCCTGCCGACCCCTCACCCTGAGTCTCCTGGAGTGAGGACCTTTCTTACACTGATGTAAACTTTCTTTTTTTTTTTTGCTTCTTCATTCCTTGACTGTAACTTGCCTCTATCCTGGGGATTTTGCTTTCTTTGCTGCCTCCATGATCAAAGGAGCATCTTGATCATTTCAGCAGCTTGGGTGCCTCAGACCCAGGGATGGGGTTAAACAAAAAAAAGACCTAGGTTTGGGTTTTTTTTTTTTTTTTTGAGCAGTTTTAGTTTCACAACAACGTTGAGAGGGAGATACAGAGACTTCACCTCTGCTTCTACCCCCACACGTCCCATAGTTTTGCCTTTTCCAGAATGTCATATAGTTGGAAGCCTTCTTAGCTTGCCTTCTTTCACTGAGTAATATGCATTTAAGTTTCTCCGTGTTTTTTCATGGCTTGATAAAGATCATTTCTTTTTAGCATTGAGTAACATTCCGTTGTCTGGATGTCCCACAGTTTATGCATTCACCCACAGAGGGACATCTTCCCAGTCCGGGCAGTTATGAACACAGCTGCTGTACACACTGTGCAGGTTTTCATGTGGATAAGTCTCCAGCTCCTTTGGGTAAATACCAAGGAGCACAATTGCTGGATTGTGATAAGATAATGCTTAGTTTTGTAAGAAACTGCCAAACTGTCTTCCCTCCGCGGCTGCACCACTCTGCACTCTCACCAGCGGTGACTGAGAGTCCCTGTGGCTCCATGTTCTTGGTGGCATTTGGCGGTGTCCGTGTGCTGGACTGTGGCCACTCTAATAGGTAGGTGTGCAGTGGTATCTCATTTTAATTTTCATTTTCCTGATAACATATTATTGGAGCATCTTTTTATATGCTTATTAACCATCTATCTTTGGTGAAATGATTGTTAAGGTCCCTGGTCCATTCTTTTTTAAGATTTTATTTATTTATTTTTAGAGAGGGGAAGGGAGGGAGGAAGAGAAAGAGAGAAACATCAATGTGTGGTTGCCTCTCAGGTGGCCCCCACTGTGGACTGTGGACCTGGACTGCAACCCAGGCATGTGCCCTGACTGGGAATCGAACCTGCGACCCTTTGGTTCATAGCCCATGCTCAATCCACTGAGCTACACCAGCCAGGGTCTGGTCCATTTTTTAATTGGGTTTTTTGATCTCTTACTGTTGACTTTTAAGAGTTCTTTGTATATTTTGGATAATAGCCCTTTATTAGATGTCATTTGCAAATATTTTCCCTCAGTCTGTGGGTTATCTTCTTTCTCTTGACATTTTTCTTTTGCAGAGCAGAAATTTTTAATTTTAATGAAGTCCATTAAAGATCCATCAAGAATTTTTTCATGGGTTATGTCTTTGGTGTTGTATCTAAAAAGACATCATGAGATCCAAGGTTTTATCCCATGCTGCCATCTCCTAGGAGTTTTATAGTTTTGCATTTTACATTTAGGCCTGTGATCTGTCTTGAATTAATTTCTTTGAAAGGTGTGAGGTCTGTGTCTAGGTTCTTTTTTTTACATGTGGATGTTCATTTGTTGCAGTACCATTTGCTTCATTGTACTGCCTTTGCTCCTTTGTCAGCTGTTCCTGTGGGTCTGTTTTTAGGCTCTGTGTTCTGTTCTGTTGACT